CTGCTGATTTTGCATTTGATCCTTTTCTTTATTCACTTTTATTCCTTTGTTTATTCCATTTAATATACTTCTCAGCTCAGATAATGTGTTCTTCATTTCTGACTGGTTCCATTTCCATTTTTATGTTTTTTATCTCTTTGTTGAAGTTCTCACTGAATTTGTCTACACGTCCCAAAGTTCATTAAGCATCTTTATAACCAGTGTTTTGAACTCTGCATCTGTAGATTGCTTGACTCCATTATATCTGGATCTCTGTTCTGTTCTGTCATATGGTTTCTGCTTCTTTGTCTTCTAATTTTGGCTGCCTTTCCATGTCTGTTTCCATGTACTAAGCACAGCTCCTAAGTCTTCGTGTTTTATTAGTGTGGATTTGGGAAGTAGGTGTCTGTCCAGTGGCACAGTCCTGAGAGGGGTTCAGCTGCAGGCCAAACTTAGCCCAAGCCCCTGCCCCGCCGGGGCCACCTGTTAAGATTCAGTCAGGAATCCACAGAGGCTGTGCTTATAGTTGCCTCAAAAGGCCACACCAGAAACCGAGGCCAGCTGCCTCCAGTGTGAGTCTGGGCGCTGCTCAGCAAGAACACCTGACTAGCTAAGGACACACCTGGATGTGGCTTGGGTGGGGCCCAGGTTGGGGGAGGCGGGGTTTCAGGGACTCCTCTGGGCGGAGCGACCTCTGTGATCCAGTGTGATGATGTCAGGGCTGTGGCGGCGCTATGTCCATGTACTGGGAGCGAGGAAGGCTCAACAGGGAGCCGTGGACACTGCCGTCACTTCTGTACCCAGCGAGTCTCCCCTCGGCCCTCACTCTGAAAACGTCTCCCTGTAAGTCCCCGCAAGTGCCCCCTGCACGCAGCCGAACAGGCACGGGCGCTCAGAGCCAGCAGGTCCGTCACCGCGAAAATCCGCTCGAGGACGCGGCCCCTTTAAGAGGCGTCTGCCGCGGCCTCTGTCACTGCCGCAGCCTCCGTGCCACTCAGCTGCTGGGGACCGGGCAGCCCCGCGTCCTCACCCCGTCGCACGGTGCTGTCCTGCATTTCTCCCTATGGTATGGCTTGTTCCTCTTGATCCCGGATGATTTGTCCTTGGTGCTGCTCCTCGTTCCCGTCGCAACCTTGATTTGGTCCCCAGAGGGAGGAACAGAGCCTCCGTCCCGTACGCCCTATTTTTCCCTCCCCAGAAGTCATGTTTTCGTAAAAAAGGCATTTCTTCACAGGATTTTCATCATGCTAAGCTCCTGGGAAACCCATGAAAGGTGAATGTCCTTTGACACAGAGATGCGTGACCGCAAGCCCTTTTGCAAATGATTAATTACGACCCGAAGAAGTGTGGGGTTACTGCCTGTCTGTGTTATTTTAGTTAGAAATTGTTTTATGAGCCCGTCTGGGGACTTTTCCTTCCAGGTAGGATAAGCGAGGCTTCTGTTGCCTGGTGGGTGCTTCCTATTTCGACTCATTAAACTCATTACCATTGTGAAAATGCTGAGGCTTAAATTTACATCAGTTGACACCACCCTGAGACCAAGCCAGCGGGTTAGCTGTACCGACACCAGCACAGTGAACGTCTGCCTGATGATGACTTGTCACGGGACTCAGGTCCCGAACGTGGCCCTCATGTGTCCTCTTCCTGGGTTCTGTGCGTGACATTTATGTATGTGGTGTGGCTTCTAGGGATGTTTACTATTTGAGTTAAAAAACCGAGAAAGATGGAATGTGCAAAAAACATGTGTTGTAGCAAATGAGCCGGTCTTGCGTTTGTATCGGAGACCGTGTCCGCCACCTCCGTGGCGTGTCGAGGCTGCCGCCCTCATCCCTTCCGAGGGCCAGGCAGGCGAGGGTGCACCCTGGGGTGGAGGGCCTGTCCCCACTGGGGTGCGACCCGCCCACGGGGTAGGGTGTCCGCACAATCTGTTATTCTTTCTGCTGCAAAGAACACCTGTGTCCTCATACAGTTCCAGTTTCGGTCTTGCTACAGTGACACGATAGTCCCCAGCCCTAACTGGAGACTGAGGACGCCCTTGCCACGCCGATGAGAAGGACACGGGCAGCTTTATTCCTCGCGTCCTGAGGGTTCTGGGCAGGGCAGGGTATTGGCGGTCAAAGGTCAGGGAATACGGTCGGACTCTGCAACCCCAGCCGAGCATGGCTGCGTGCATCGACTTAGTAAATCCAGCCGGCAGCTCGTGAGTGTGTGGGTCTCCGTGGAAAGTGTGAACCGTGTGCCTCCCTGTGACCACCGGTTTCTTCCAGTTTGGGAGCTCCCGCTAGGTCCCTGCGAGTCCACGCTCAGCCCCTTCTTCATGCTTCAACTGCCTCGTACTTTGCTCTTCTGGAAAATGTTCGGCATCAATAGCAGCGGGCGGAAAAGTACGGGACGTCCCCCGTGCCCTGCACGCCCTCCCGCTGAATCTCCGCCCAGCACCCACGTCCCTTCTTCCCGGATTAACTGGAAGGAGACGGCAGCCATCATGTTATTTCATCCACGGGCGTTTCGGATGCATCTCTAACTGTTTTTCTCTCTTTCGTGTCTATTTTTCAATCCTCCGTGATTCTCCTCGACTCAGGGTTTGAGACCCCGGGTTTTGGAGTCCAGTTTCGGACTTGCTCTCCGGCTCACCCCGTTCGTAACTGCGTGACCCTGAGCGGGTGACTTATCTTTTCGGATGTCGGCTGCTGTCATCTGTAAAGTGGAGCCAGTGCTGGTGACTCCCGGGATTCGGTGCGGTCCAGACAGGAGACCACGTGCTCATGTCTTTAGCTCAGAGCCTGCTCCGCAGGTGGGGGCAGTTATTGCTGTCGCGGTTGAGATGGGTCTTATTTTGGAATGCTGTTCTCGGGGGTCATATCCGGTGTCAGGTTTGTGGACAGAGGTGATGACGAGGAGCGGGAAAGTCTCAGAGTTGTTGATACGCATGATGGGTGACTTCAGTCTTGGGCACCTGCTGTAATTATCAAGAGGTCGTTCAGCACAAAATATCTGTAGACAGACTTGGTCGTATGAGATTTGTCTTTTTCCACTCCGTAAGGAAAATTACTGGGCTTCTTTATAACCTAAGCATCGTGGCACGATGTGGTCAGTGTAACAATCTGACCTCTGACTGCTGGCAATTTCTTTCAATGGGCTCATGGCATATGAACCTGATTCTTCTAGAATACATTATTGGGTCTCCCACAGGATCACCCTATGCCGCCTATCAGAGATGTCACTTGATTCAATGACTGGATCTTCTTGCGTTGGCCAAGAGCCCATCACAGTTCTTGCCCCCTCATGATGTCACAATCTTCCGTTGGGACCAGCAAGGCAGAGTGCCAGAGTCAAGGTCGTTCTCTCCCTCCCCAAGAAATGAACGGACAAGTCCTTGAGGGCGAATCCTCTCCCTTGCCAAGACGCGACTGTTTTCAAGCTGACTCTTTTCTCTCCTTCAGGGCAGATCATGAGCGTTCTAGAGGAGTTAGGACTGGCCAACAACACCCTCGTCTACTTCACTTCGGACCAAGGGGCGCACGTGGAGGAGGTGACGGCCACAGGAGAAATTCACGGAGGAAGTAACGGGATCTATAAAGGTGAGAGTGAGGATGAGCTCTGGCCTGCTCGCCCACCCACGGCGCACCTTGGCCTTGGTCTTGGCACTTGGGCATCGTTTTCCTGTGGCTTTGCAAGACGCTGGGCTTCACGGTGTTACGGGCATTGAACAGTCCGATGGCCAAAGTGGCCATTGCTGATATGGTCCCCACCGAACTTAAAAGCACACGTTGTATGTCACCCTGTTGGAATGACGGCATTTTCCCCAGAAATGTCAATACAGCCCCATATTGGGTAACTGCTTAAAACAAGAAGCCCTTTATTCCCTGACATTTGTGATCTGCTGCTGCCCTAAGAAATTGACACAAACTTCCTGGCTTAAAGCAACACAGATTTGAGACCGGAGTGGGTCCCACTGGTCTGAAATCAGGGTGACGGCAGGACTGCGTCTTTGTGCAAGCTCTCGCGAGAGTCCGGTTCCCAGCCTGGTCCAGGCTGGGGAGGCCACCTGCGCTCCTGGGCTCGTGGCCCCTTATTCCGTCTTTGTGGTCGACGGTGCAACGTGTTGAGGTCCCCTCTCTGCTTTCATAATCCCATCCCCTCACCTCCTCCCTTCTTTAGGGACCCTTGTGATTACAGATGCTCCTCGACCTTACAGGGGCTCCGTCCCGATAAAGCATCGTGATCCGAAAAGAGCGTAGTTCGAAAATGCATTTGAGCTACCGAACGTCATAGCTCAGCCAGTTCCTGCGGAGGCCATGGTCCACTGCCGGCCGGCTGGTTGGGTGGTGGCTGGCTGGGTGCTGCAGGAATAGGGAGCCCCATGCAACTGAATGCAGATGCTCCTCGACCTTACAGGGGCTCTGTCCCGATAAAGCATCGTGATCCGAAAAGAGCGTAGTTCAAAAATGCATTTAAGCTACCGAACGTCGTAGCTCAGCCAGTTCCTGCGGAGGCCATGGTCCACTGCCGGCCGGCTGGTTGGGTGGTGGCTGGCTGGGTGCTGCAGGAATAGGGAGCCCCATGCAACTGAATAAGGGTGTCACTATTTACGTGCACGAGACCCTGGCTGTGTAAAGAGCCAGGGGAGCCTGACTTGACCACGGGGACCAGGAAATGCTCCCCGAGCACGCAGGCTGGGGGGCAGTGTGCGTGCTCTCTGCTCTCTCTCCTTCTAGCTCTTTCCATCCTCCCCACCAGTGCCTCTCTCCAGGGCTGCTGGAAACGAGCACACTGTGCCTGACACAGGCTGTGCATCCTCGTCCTGCTGTTTATGGCCACATGTGCACGTCGGGGGCTCTTGTAAGCTCCGTGCTGTGGATCGTTTCTTGCACCTTTGTTTACCTGGAACCGATGAGAAAAGGTTTGTGCTCAGTGCTGGGGGTGGGAGGACACCCTCCATCACATTAACTTAAAAAGAAAAAGGCCTTTCCGAGCGAGAGGTGACGAGAGTTTATTTGAGGTTAATGCGAATAGCTGTTTGGGAAGCTCTGATTCGGGCCGAAGCCAAACAGGGGCATGACGGGGAGACAGAGGCAGTCGATGAGACAGGGCGGGGGACAGTGACATCCGTAGGAGGAAGGCGTCGCTATCGGTACAGGTAACATGACACGGTGACGCCGATTCTAAACGGTGCTTTTCATTTTCGTTCCTGTAGTCATCGGTCCGGTCGCCGTGACATCTGCTCTCTCGTTATCTTTGCAAAGGGTCCGCCGCGATGCAGCGTGGCCTTAGGCCCTGTCTAAGGTGATTCTGTCCAGTTTCGCCGTCCCAGAGCTTTGAGGATGAGACGAGCGGGCAGCGCCTCCGGCTCCGTAGTAAAGGGTTCCGTTCATGTCACTGTTTACACGAGAACGCTCCCGGCTCGTCCCTCGTGTGCACGCCCCGTGGCACCTCCGCAGTGCGCACGGCCAGCACGGGTTCGGCGAAGGACATGGCGTGTTCGGTCCGCACGGGTCAGCCCTGCCTCCCGGGCTGCATCCTTCCGTCCCTCCCCCGTGCCCGGCCTTACTCAGGTGTGGGCGGGAACCACGGCCACCTGTCGATCGAAGCCAGCTGTCTCCGTCGCGGTTCCGTGCGGTGACGGTCGGCGTGGAGGGGGTTGTCCGGCATTGGTTTCACAGATCACAGCGTCGCCGCTAAAGACGGCGTTGCAGACGGCATGTCACGCAGGGCCTCCCCCGAGCATTCACGCTCCCTCCGCGGGTCTGTGTGGCCCCCCAAGTTAACTCAGCGGTGTGACATGTCCATCAATCATAGTGAAGGAGGAGGTCGGGAAGTCGCGCCTTATTTCATAAAGCTGCAGACACGATGCTGCGGAGCCTCCGTTCACGGGGAGGTGACCAGGTGACCGCTGGCCGGGGCGCCCGCGGGACGGCGAGCCCAGGCGGAAAGCAGAGCGGGCACCTTGCTGTCACGGTTCGCTCTTTGACGACATGAGCCGCGTGGATCAGAAAGACAGCGTCAAGGGTTCTGCAAGGCGGTTGGGGCCTGGGGTCACCGCACGACTCGAAAAGCGTGTGAACAGCAGCCCCCTGCTCCGTTCTGCTTTGCTCGAAGAAGCACGTTGGGCGGGTGACAGCCGTGTCGCTTCGGAGCTGACGCTGCTTCAGAGTCCAGCTGCTTCTGGATCATGGAGCATCATCCCTTTGTCGAACTTAGTTTCGAAATCAAGTCGACGGTCCGACGTTGTTAAAATACAGTGCCCTAAAAGAAAGACGAGGTTTCCTCCCAGCTGTGGGAGATGACCAAAGACCGCCGAATGTCAAAACCCCTAGTTTGCGAAAGCCACAAACTTCAAAGCAGTCTCGTGGCTGATGTAAGCCCGTTCACACGCCCTGATCTGAACAATACTGGTTTCTACTCTCCATCAGAACCGCTTCCAAAGTTCTCGACTCTGTGAGCTCATCTTACTCGCTGATGAAGTCGACAGGCTAATTCGATACAACAGCTACGATTAAACCATCCTTCCGCAGAATTCAACAGGTTGTCCCATTTAATCGTGGGGACGTTAGATCATGACTCTAGCCTGCATTTAAAAAATAATAATTCAGTATAACGGGGGTGAAGAGATAGTGGCACCCCTAAACGTTTCTCACATTTAAGAAAGGAAATGTATTTGCAGTATGATTCACCTGATTACATTTAGATTCGCATAAATTTTATCTCGGTCAGAAGGCTGTTGCATGAAAGGAAGTTGAGAGTTCAAGGGAGGGTCCAAGGCGATATTTGAATATAAGTCTAGACAAATTTTAGCCATCTTGGCACTGTCTTTCATATACTAGTTCCGGAAATGTTTACTTCTCAGAACTTTCTAGAATAGATTCCCTTCGACCGTACCCATGCTCTGAATGATTGTGTCAACCTACTAAAGCTGATTTACTAATAATTCTTATTTCCACTCAAGCAGCAAGGAGTCATTGTCTCTGTCCAAGCGTCCTGTGAATCTGACAGCGTCTCAGAACGAAGTCCTTAGGGTTTTCATCCAGGCAGATAACACAACGTTCCATACGCTGGGCGTTAGCCCGTGACCACTTTTAGCTGTTACACATGAAAATTGCATCGGGGCTGTTAAAATACGGGAAACATCTACATTGGCTGCTTTGGGAGTTGTAAATAGGAGCCAGTGCTTTGAACCAGCAGAGGATATACAATCGCTTTGCACTCCGGGACTCTCCCTCGGAGACGGATGATGGCTCTCAGATTGAGTAATTGCACCCAGGGCGGGTGTTGGTTATTTGAATCAGGTGGGTAGAGAGGAGTCTAGAGTAGAGAAGACGCTTCATGCTGAACACTCACCTGCATCCAGGCACTTAACTAAGAGCTCAAGACAATGGTCCTACGAACTGTCACTCTCTTCCGGAAGAAGCAGGTGGCACCGCCCAGCTTCACTTGATGGCAGAGTCAGGGTGTTAAGCCCTCCGGGCTCCCCTTGCAGAGGTAGGTGCAATGGAAGAGGCTTCTCAATTCCTGGCTGGCGCCTCCTCCTGTGACCTACCTCTCAGCGCTGGAGACCTCGGGAGCTCTGTCCCGGGCCACTTCCCTCGTATTCATGTGTGCACGTGCCTCGTGCAGTCTCATCCAGAACCAGGGCCACGTGGCATCTGAGTGCTGGTAACCCCCATATCCAGCCCTCACTCTTTCTTAGAACCCCAGACTCCTCCGTCCAGCAGCCCCCATGACATGTGACGTGGGTCTTTGGCGGACACATTTTGCTTACCAGATGCGTACTGTAGATGTCACTCCCCAAGCCCACGTGCTCCCTCGTCTGACCGAGCCCTTCGAACTGAAGTACTGTTCCCTCAGAGACTCAGCTCTCGAAGCTGGGGTTCCTTGACCCCTCAAGCATCTTTCTTTGACCTGCCTTTACCCATATTCCAACAACGTGTCCTACAATGCTCTGAGTATAGTTCACATGGATCTACTTTTCTCAACTCCACCAATTACGGCTCCCTGTTGGCCCCCATCACCTCAAACTCATCTCCCCAGTGGTTCCTGGGTGGTCACCCTGCTTCCTCTGCGCCGTCTACAATCTGTTCTCCCTGCGGGCAGCTGGGTGAGCCTTAACGAACACACACTCAGGGTACCGTACGGGGATTCCTGGCTTGCTCACAAAGTGCCACAAACGATGACTTGAAACAACAGAAAGTTATTATCTGTGTTCTGGAGACCAGAAATTCGAAATCGAGAGGTCGGCAGGACCGTGCAGCCCCAAAAGCCTCCAGAGGAAGTGCCATCCTCGTCCCTCGCAGCTTCCGGTGGTGGCCGGCATCGCTTGGCTTGTAGACGCATCACCCCAGTGTGTGCCTCCGTCGTCACATGGCTTTGCTTCCTTTCTTGAAACACTGAACTCTGTTCCCATCCACTAAGAATGAAACGTGAGATCTGCGTCCTGGTGGTGCACAGTCCCGCTGTGACCGAGGATGCTTCGTCTTTTCTCAGACCCTCAGCACCTCAATCTTGGTGCCACCCGAGGGCGTTTCCGTTGGCACTTTCTTCAGTCGGAACGGTCACCCCCTGAGCTTGGCCTGGATCTGGCCACTGAGCACACGCTGCCTCTGGAAGATCTCCCTGGGACACCACGCCAGAAGGCTGTGTCACCTCCCACCGCGAGTAATCATGACACCAACTGATTTGAATTCTTTGCGTACATCCTTCCTGAGCTGGGACCAGAATAAATTCCCTGAGGTTTTCTCACAGTGGAGTTCAGAGTTGTCTGCTTCTTCCTCACAGCAGAGAACTCCCTGTAGCCTCGGCAGAGAACAGCTAAACGCCTCGCTCTGCGACATTTCCGCTCCTGTGCCAAGTCAAGGTCACGTTGACTGAGGCTCTGCCGCCACCTCCGTTTCCCTGTGCCTAAGGGCGAGCAGTAAATGTCAGAGGAAGGGATGGTTGACTGCGGGAGGGGAGGGCGCTGTCTGCAGAAGCACAGAGGCTCTGGCAGGCGTGGTTCCCTGAGTGCTGGAGACGGGAGACTTGCCCCAGGTGCCAGGGACGCTCGCCCAGGTTTCCCGGTGTCTGCACCTCAGGCAACGCAGCTTCTGGCATTTGTCCTTCGCCTTCCGGGCAAATTGCAAAAGCCACTGATTGGCTGGATGCCACATCTGTCACGAGTGCCTCCTCGCAGCCGCCGAGTTTGGCGTCTGTTCCCCTCACGCAACGATGCAGCTTTTGGAGAAAAAAAAATATAACAGCAAAGAGGCTCCCGTCATTTGTGAGAAGGTGGTTCTGCTCAGGTAGCATCTTCGGCTTTTGGCGAGCAGTTTTATCAGCTTCCCAAGACTGGGCAAAGCTGCGCATGTTGCCGGCGTCGGGACTGAGTGTGCCGGGAGGCACCCCACTGCGTCTTCACCTTAGAAAGATGATCACACATGCTCTCCATGCATCAAGTCACTTATTCAGTTGAATTCGACTGCGGAGCATTCATATAGCAAACGCCAGGTTAACTTCTAGGGCATCAGGCGAAGGATACAGGTCCCTGACTTGTTGTAGCTAATGTCCTCTTGTTGAGATGCAGATCTAGGAAGGGAAGGGCGGATGAAGGGACTCTCTCGTAGGAATGGCGGAAGGTCCTTAACCCAACCTGGGGCTCAGCCTCCTGAGAGGAGCTAGCTGATCGTCTGCAGCCTGAAGGTTTGAAGTGTCGGCTGGGACAGGAAAGGTAGGAAGTGTATTCTAGGCAGGAGCGAGATGCTCGCGGTGAGCAAAAACGAGGCTCGGCGTTGCCAGAGACGAAAGTGTGAACAACGGACGTCAGATGACGTGGCCGACGAGCGACCTGCACCCAAATTCATATGTGCAATAAAAATGAATTCAGGTATAAATTTATACATTGCTTCCGTATATGAAATTTAGTTCTATGTAAATTTCAATCAATAAATCTGTTTACATATAAATTTCAATCAATAAATTTGTTTATATATAAATTTCAATCAATGAATTTGTTTACATATAAATTTC